CACTTAATTCCGTAGAGGGCGGCACTTAATGCCGTAGAAGGCGGCACTTAATTCCGTAGAAGGCGACACTTAATGCCGTAGAAGGCCGCACTTAATGCCGTAGAAGGCCGCACTTAATGCCGTAGAAGGCGGCACTTAATGCCGTAGAAGGCCGCACTTAATGCCGTAGAAGGTCGCACTTAATGCCGTAGAAGGCCGCACTTAATGCCGTAGAAGGCGGTACTTAATGCCGTAGAAGGCCGCACTTAATTCTGTAGAAGGCCGCACTTAATTCCGTAGAAGACCGCACTTAATTCCGTAGAAGGCCGCACTTAATTCCGTAGAAGACCGCACTTAATTCCATAGAAGACCGCACGTAATGCCGTAGAAGGCCGCACTTAATTCCGTAGAAGGCCACACTTAATTCCGTAGAAGACCGCACTTAATTCCGTAGAGGGCGGCACTTAATGCCGTAGAAGGCGGCACTTAATTCCGTAGAAGGCGACACTTAATGCCGTAGAAGGCCGCACTTAATGCCGTAGAAGGCCGCACTTAATGCCGTAGAAGGCGGCACTTAATGCCGTAGAAGGCCGCACTTAATGCCGTAGAAGGCGGCACTTAATGCCGTAGAAGGCGGCACTTAATGCCGTAGAAGGCGGCGCATAATGCCGTAGAAGGCGGCACTTAATGCCGTAGAAGGCCGCATTTAATGCCGTAGAAGGCCGCACTTAATGCCGTAGAAGGCGGTACTTAATGCCGTAGAAGGCGGCACTTAATGCCGTAGAAGGCCGTACTTAATGCCGTAGAAGGCGGCACTTAATGCCGTAGAAGGCCGCACTTAATGCCGTAGAAGGCGGCACTTAATGCCGTAGAAGGCGGCACTTAATGCCGTAGAAGGCGGCGCATAATGCCGTAGAAGGCGGCACTTAATGCCGTAGAAGACCGCACTTAATGCCGTAGAAGGCCGCACTTAATGCCGTAGAAGACCGCACTTAGTGCCGTAGAAGGCCGCACTTAATGCCGTAGAAGACCGCACTTAATGCCGTAGAAGACCGCACTTAATGCCGTAGAAGGCGGCACTTAATGCCGTAGAAGACCGCACTTAATGCCGTAGAAGACCGCACTTAATGCCGTAGAAGGCCGCACTTAATGCCGTAGAAGACCGCACTTAGTGCCGTAGAAGGCCCCATGCAGCCTCACCCCTGGTATATCTTCTCTGCATAACGCACCTAATGCTTCAGAATTTACATAAAAATACCCGGGAGTAAACTCTATATTGACAGTCACAGTGTTGCCTTTCCTCGGTTATCCTACGTTAAATCTACATAACTCACTTGTTTGTGCCTGTTAGGATCGTAGATGGTAGTCTGATGGGCTGTTGCACCTGGTGGTGACAAAGTCAGCAAAGAACTCTGCAGGACAGAACAAGGGCAAGCAAGCAGGTGTAGATTTCTTTACCCATGTAATCCTTCACTAATATACACATTGTATACATTATTAATGATTAGAGAAGAAGTCAGATTGAAATAATTCAAATCAGAGTCACTCGGAACAATAGTGGTTATGAACACTGTCGGTGGAAGTCTAACACAGAGTCAGGTAGGCTGAAGTGAAGTCACTTTGGCTGAAATATTCGACTTACACGTAACTGGTGGGTTGAACTGGACAGTAAGCACAACAATGGGACCCCTGAACTGCTATATTATAAAGTGCCAGTTTACTGGTGGAGAGAGCGTGCCAAATAGCTGTGTGACGAACGTAGAATATAATATAACAATGGGCGCACGTCACACTGCCTTAAACATCTGTGTCTTAAGACCATTCTTAAAAAACTATGTAATGACTTCAAAGCTTAAATAAAACTTACTTATTTGCTTACTTATTTTTAAGTACTTATTTACCAACTTTGCTTACACAGTGACTTAGATATTTACTGTACTTGCTTACTTAATATCTTACTTAGAGACAAGTTGGGATTAATTTTAGCTATTGTTGGTCCCTATTTGCTTTTAATTTTACAAAAAAATTCGAAAAATTTAAAATTTGCTTTGTTTTTGCGATAATTTCTGAGTATCGCATCTGATTAACTTCAGTCCCGCGTCATTGTCAACTACGTAACACAACATGTCAGTATCAGCAAGCTGAATGTACTGGTGTTATATTTCTCTCTCTGATATATTAAGATAACACTTCTTTAGTCTCTCTTCGTCGTTGTTGTAAGTAAAATCTGGCTGTGTATATTCTAATTGTCGTTTTTATTTTCAGATGTTGTGCTGGAATATTGCTATACACTAACATCCCTTTCAAGGCAGGCGAAACTGCAGACCCGGAGAATATACAGAGAATTTTCACGGCACATATAAGTACCATGAAGCAGCTAAATTACTGGGAACGGTTGAAGTTCCTTGACCTGTACTCCTTGGAGACCAAGGGACACAAATACATAGTAACATACACTTGGGAAATTCTAGAGGGACTACTCCCGTATCTGCACACGGAAATCACTCCCTACGAATGGAAAAGACTCGGCAGGCGATGTAACATTACCCCAATGAAAAGCAGAGGTACCACGAGTACCCTATGGGATAACATATTAAGTATCAGGGGCCCCACGAGTACGGTATGGGATAACACATTAAGTATCAGGGGCCACACGAGTACGGTATGGGATAACACATTAAGTATCAGGGCCACAAAGAGTAAAGCTATGGGATAACACATTAAGTATCAGGGGCCACACGAGTACGGTATGGGATAAACACATTAAGTTAAGGGGCCACACGAGTACGCTATGGGATAACACATTAAGTATCAGGGGCCACACGAGTACGGTATGGGATAACACATTAAGTATCAGGGGCACCACGAGTACGCTATGGGATAACACATTAAGTATCAGGGGCCACACGAGTACGCTATGGGATAACACATTAAGTATCAGGGGCCCACGAGTACGCTATGGGATAACACATTAAGTATCAGGGGCCACACGAGTACGCTATGGGATAACACATTAAGTATCAGGGGCCACACGAGTACGCTATGGGATAACACATTAAGTATCAGGGGCCACACGAGTACGGTATGGGATAACACATTAAGTATCAGGGGCCACACGAGTACGCTATGGGATAACACATTAAGTATCAGGGGCCACACGAGTACGCTATGGGATAACACATTAAGTATCAGGGGCCACAGGAGTACGGTATGGGATAACACATTAAGTATCAGGGGCCACACGAGTACGCTATGGGATAACACATTAAGTATCAGGGGCCACACGAGTACGGTATGGGATAACACATTAAGTATCAGGGGCACCACGAGTACGCTGTGGGATAACACATTAAGTATCAGGGGCCACACGAGTACGCTATGGGATAACACATTAAGTATCAGGGGCCCCAGAGTACGCTATGGGATAAAAATAAGTATTTAGGGGCCACACGAGTACGCTATGGGATAACACATTAAGTATCAGGGGCACCACGAGTACGCTATGGGATAACACATTAAGTATCAGGGGCACCACGAGTACCCTATGGGATAACACATTAAGTATCAGGGGCCCCACGAGTTTTCCCTATGGGATAACACATTAAGTATCAGGGGCACCACGAGTACGCTATGGGATAACACATTAAGTATCAGGGGCCCCACGAGTACGCTATGGGATAACACATTAAGTATCAGGGGCCCCACGAGTACGCTATGGGATAACACATTAAGTATCACTTGTCTATAAAATCTGTGTCAGTTCAACTTCAATATAAATAGTTTGTGTATGTACCCAAAACTTAAATATAACTTACTTATATACTTATTTACTTATTAATTCTGACGCTGATCAACCTTATTAGAGAAAAAAATTGAATATCTGAAATACTGTTTTATACATAATAACGTCGGAGCGTCGCGTCTAATTAACGAGAAACGTTAAAAGCCGATAACTTTAATGTAATATTTGGTCGCAGTCAATAATAATGTGCTTGTGTATTTTAGGATATTAATCACTCTGAGATTACAAGATAATGTCTATTTAATTTAGCTTGAATGCTGATTTACACAGTATATATCCTGAGACAGTAGTTTCCACATGAAGACTTGTGATTGTCTTCAATGATTCGCCAAAAATATTCAACGAAAATATTTAATTCCAATATAAACTTAAGCATTAGTTTACACTGTTGCAGTCACGTACAATGGTGCCCAGGAGACCGGGGGGGGGGAGGTAATAAATGGTTAGATACCCTTCTAGGGATACGAATATGTATTATGACTATTATCAGGATGAGTTGAGCCGTGGGTGTCGTACAGCGACGGGAACCAGAGGTAATGAGATAAATCTTACGAGGGAAAGAGTAATTGCAATTCCTTAGAACAAGAGCCCTTACGGCTTTATGGATCCTCTTCCATCTGAAGTGTGTGGCCAGATGAATGTGGATGAAGAGAAGGCAGGGCCAAGTAAGCCTTAGTTGGGTAGTGGGCAGGTGGCCGGGCAGTGGGCAGGTGACTGCGGCAGTGGGCACAGGTACCTTTGCGGTAGCGGCACCAGTATATAAACGCATATTTATTGCAAACATTAATAAAACATAACCAGTGGACATGGTCTTGTATAATACTGATGTGTTATACACTTGTAAACCTGCCGTGGTTATCATCACAGTGATCGTTGGTAAACCAGCCGTGGTTATCATCACAGTGATCGTTGGTAAACCAGCCGTGGTTATCATCACAGTGATCGTTGTTAAACCAGCCGTGGTTATCATCACAGTGATCGTTGGTAAACCAGCCGTGGTTATCATCACAGTGATCGTTGGTAAACCAGCCGTGGTTATCATCACAGTGATCGTTGGTAAACCAGCCGTGGTTATCATCACAGTGATCGTTGGTAAACCAGCCGTGGTTATCATTACAGTGATTGTTGGTAAACCAGCCGTGGTTATCATCACAGTGATTGTTGGTAAACCAGCCGTGGTTATCATCACAGTGATCGTTGGTAAACCAGCCGTGGTTATCATCACAGTGATTGTTGGTAAACCAGCCGTGGTTATCATTACAGTGATCGTTGGTAAACCAGCCGTGGTTATCATCACAGTGATCGTTGGTAAACCAGCCGTGGTTATCATCACAGTGATTGTTGGTAAACCAGCCGTGGTTATCATCACAGTGATCGTTGGTAAACCAGCCGTGGTTATCATACAGTGATTGTTGTAAACCAGCCGTGGTTATCATCACAGTGATCGTTGGTAAACCAGCCGTGGTTTATCATCACAGTGATTGTTGGTAAACCAGCCGTGGTTATCATCACAGTGATCGTTGGTAAACCAGCCGTGGTTATCATCAAAAGTGATTGTTGGTAAACCAGCCGTGGTTATCATCACAGTGATCGTTGGTAAACCAGCCGTGGTTATCATCACAGTGATCGTTGGTAAACCAGCCGTGGTTATCATCACAGTGATCGTTGGTAAACCAGCCGTGGTTATCATCACAGTGATCGTTGGTAAACCAGCCGTGGTTATCATCACAGTGATCGTTGGTAAACCAGCCGTGGTTATCATTACAGTGATTGTTGGTAAACCAGCCGTGGTTATCATCACAGTGATCGTTGGTAAACCAGCCGTGGTTATCATCACAGTGATCGTTGGTAAACCAGCCGTGGTTATCATCACAGTGATCGTTGGTAAACCAGCCGTGGTTATCATTTACAGTGATGTTGGTAAACCAGCCGTGGTTATCATACAGTGATGTTGGTAAAACCAGCCGTGGTTATCATCACAGTGATCGTTGGTAAACCAGCCGTGGTTATCATCACAGTGATGTTGGTAAACCACCGTGGTTATCATCACAGTGATCGTTGGTAAACCAGCCGTGGTTATCATTACAGTGATTGTTGGTAAACCAGCCGTGGTTATCATTACAGTGATTGTTGGTAAACCAGCCGTGGTTATCATCACAGTGATCGTTGGTAAACCAGCCGTGGTTATCATCACAGTGATCGTTGGTAAACCAGCCGTGGTTATCATCACAGTGATCGTTGGTAAACCAGCCGTGGTTATCATCACAGTGATTGTTGGTAAACCAGCCGTGGTTATCATCACAGTGATCGTTGGTAAACCAGCCGTGGTTATCATCACAGTGATCGTTGGTAAACCTGCCGTGGTTATCATCACAGTGATTGTTGGTAAACCTGACCGTGGTTATCATCACAGTGATCGTTGGTAAACCAGCCGTGGTTATCATTACAGTGATTGTTGGTAAACCAGCCGTGGTTATCATCACAGTGATTGTTGGTAAACCAGCCGTGGTTATCATCACAGTGATTGTTGGTAAACCAGCCGTGGTTATCATCACAGTGATCGTTGGTAAACCAGCCGTGGTTTATCATTACAGTGATGTTGGTAAACCAGCCGTGGTTATCTCATCACAGTGATTGTTGGTAAACCAGCCGTGGTTATCATCACAGTTGATCGTTGGTAAACCAGCCGTGGTTATCATCACAGTGATTGTTTGGTAAACCAGCCGTGGTTATCATTACAGTGATGGTTGGTAAACCCGCCGTGGTTATCATCACAGTGATGTTAGTAACCAGTCCGTGGTATCATACAGTGAATTGTTTGGTAAACCTAGCCGTGGTTAATCATAACAGTGATCCGTTGGGTAAACCAGCGTGGTTACATCACAGTGAAACGTTGGTAAACCAGCCGTGAGTTATCATTAACAGTGATTGTTGGTAAACCAGCCGTGGTTATCATACAGTGATGAGTAAACCCGCCGTGGTTACATTCACAGTGATTTTTGGTAAACCCGACGTGGTTTCATCACAGTGATTCGTTGGTAACAGCCATGGTTACATCACAGTGATTCGTTGGTTAAACCAGCCGTGAGTTATCATCACAGTGATCTGTGTTAAACCAGCCGTGGTTACATCACAGTGATATCGTTGGTAACCAGCCGTGGTATCATCACAGTGATTGTTGGTAAACCAGCCGTGGTTATCATCACAGTGATGTTGTAAACCCGCTGTGGTTATCATCCAGTGATCGTTTGGTAAACCAGCGTGGTTATCATCACAGTGATGTTGGTAAACCAGCCGTGGTTATCATCACAGTTTAAACGTTGGTAACCACGTGGTATCATTACACAGTGATGTTGGTAAACCAGCATGGTTATCATCACAGTGATTGTTGGTTTAAAACCAGCCGTGGTTATCATCACGTGATTGTTGGTAAACCAGCCGAGGTTATCATCACAGTGATCAGTTGGTAAACCAGCGTGGTTATCATACAGTGATTCGTTGGTTAAACCAGCCGTGGTTATCATCACAGTGATCGTTGGTATACCAGCCGTGGTTATTCATCACAGTGATGTTGTTAAACAGCCGTGGTTATCATCACAGTGATTTGTTGGTAAACCAGCCGTGGTTATCATCACAGTGATTGTTGGTAACCAGCCGTGGATTATCATCACAGTGATTGTTAAGGTATTACAACAGTGGCACAGTGTATGTAGTTACACAGTGATAGTTAAAGGTAGAACCAGTGATGGTTTCACAGTATCATTCACAGTGATGATTACGTTGTATGATTACACAGTGTGAGTTTACACAGTGATGTGTAACACAGCGTGGTTACACAGTGATGATCCGTGATGAGTTACACCAGTGATGGTTACACATGATGATTACGTTGGTAATTTCCAGCGTGGTTACATCATCATGATTCAGTTGGTTACAAACCCAGTGTGAGTTTATCACACATTGTGATCTATGTGAAACCCATGATGGTTATCATACAGTGATGTTGGTACAACCAGCCTGGTATCATCACAGGGTAGTTAAGGTAAACACAGCCGTGGTTATCATTACAGTGATTGATTGAGTTCCAGACCGTGTATCATACAAGTGATGTTACAAGGCTAAACACAGTCGATGGTTACATACAGTGATGTTTAAAACCAGTCGTGAGTTCATCACAGTGAATGTTGGTAAACATGCTGGTTATCTGTAACAGTGATTTAGTTAACAGTGGTTATCATCACAGTGATTGTTGAGTAAACCAGCCGTGTCTGTATTCATCACAGTGATTGGTAACACAGTCGTGGTTACATTACAGTGATTGTTCGTAAACCAGCGTGGTTTCATCACAGTGATCCTTGGTTAAACACCGTGTGATATCATCACAGTGATTGTTAAAGAAATAAGTGATAGTCACAACAGTGTGCAGACTGTGTGGATGGATGTTTACACAGTGATGAGTTACACAGTGATGAGTTACACAGTGATGAGTTACACAGTGATGAGTTACACAGTGATGAGTTACGTTGTGATGAGTTACACAGTGATGAGTTACACAGTGATGAGTTACACAGTGATGAGTTACACAGTGATGAGTTACACAGTGATGAGTTAACACAGTGGATGAGTTACACAGTGATGAGTTAACGATGTGATGAGTTACACAGTGATGAGTTACACAGTGATGAGTTACACAGTGATGAGTTTACAACTAGTGATGAGTTACACGTGATGAGTTACACAGTGATGAGTTACACAGTGATGAGTTACACAGTGATGAGTTACACAGTGATGAGTTACACAGTGATGAGTTACACAGTGATGAGTTACACAGTGATGAGTTACACAGTGATGAGTTACGTTGTGATGAGTTACGTTGTGATGAGTTACACAGTGATGAGTTACACAGTGATGAGTTACACAGTGATGAGTTACACAGTGATGAGTTACACAGTGATGAGTTACACAGTGATGAGTTACACAGTGATGAGTTACACAGTGATGAGTTACAGAGAAGATGAGTTACATAGTGATAGATTTAGATTTTGCCACCGAAGTGGCTAGTTTATTGTGCACCTCATATTGTGCACCTCATATTGTGCACCTCATATTGTGCACCTCATATTGTGCACCTCATATTGTGCACCTCATCTCCGTCCTGTGGACGGTAGCACATGAGCACGAAGATGCACAAAAGGCCCAGGAACTAAGCCCTAAAAGGGTTAACAGGTATACATTTCGATTTATATCTACAGTTCACTTATCTGTTACAAGCAAATTTAGGAAATATGGATACACAAAAGGCCTAGGAACTAGGCCCCAAAGGGTTAACAGGAATACATATGGATTTATATATACATATCTATAGTTCACTTATCTGTTACAAGCAAATTTAGGAAACATGCTTAGTATATCTGGTATCTTATTTTCATTAATAAGATATCTTGACATGTCACATAGGTTATTATACTGTCTGTCTCTGTATTCCTCAATAAGTGGACAATTAAGCACATAGTGTTCAAGACAGTGACCATATGCCTGATCACATAATTTACATTTAGTTTGATCATCATATGTGTGTCTCCCAAACTGCCAGAAGTACTTGTAACCAAGCCTAAGCCTGGCCACTACAACATCAGTCAGTACTTGTAACCAAGCCTAAGCCTGGCCACTACAACATCAGTCAGTACTTGTAACCAAGCCTAAGCCTGGCCACTACAACATCAGTCAGTACT